TGCCTAGGAAAGGGGAGAAAACTGACAGAAAAGCAGGGCAGGAAAATGAAGCAATGTAATGGAAAACAAAGAGTGGGGTTGCTCTACCACAGGCGAGTGGTGAAGGAGAGCTGGAAGTCTGGTGTGTGGTTGTCTGTGTACAGAGTAGGCTGAACTCTTGGGGTGGGTTATGCCTTGCATAAACACCCATGACTTATCCAAATGAATGGAGTGGCCCCAGCAGCTGAGCCACCATCCCAACTCTCTGTAATTAGCACGGAAACCTATTAATTTTTCCACCCTACTGGGAAAATAGATGAGTTTGGGTCCCTCAACTATGAGGCAAATTCCTTTATAAAGTGCAGCGTATTTTCCAAGCTTTCTCAGCTCCAGGATGGGATGTCAGAGGAAGGGCAGTGCTGTGGCCCACCATGCTCCATGTCACCTGCCCTCACATGTGTCCTGGCAGCCACAATGATCACTCATATTGAGAACTAACCCAGCTCAGGGTCTTTCTCTGTTAGCCGTGGAGCAAAATTAGTATAAGGGCTTCTGCATTTGACTGGGATTGAGACAGGGAACTGTCAGAGCTAAAAGTGGTTTCAGTCCTTATTTACACAGACCCACAGGGCAGGAGCCCCCTGAACTCATCTACCAGCACACTGCTGCAACAGCCAGAGGGGCAGAGACTCATATGGGTGACAGGCACTGCCTGCCATGTGCTTGCCAGAACAGACCCATCACACACAGCTGCCTTGCCTGCCTTCTCAGTCATATGGGAAAGGGGAAACTCTGCATGTACCCTTTTAAGAAAGACTTTTCCTTTGCTTTTTCTGACACTGCCCTGACCAGGGTAAGTCATGCCTCACTTAACTCTAACATGGCAACAGTGTTCAGCACAGAAGTCACAGGAAAGGTGTGTCTGCACATACAAACCACAGCCTCTCTCCTAAGGCATCTCAGATCACTGCTCAGTGGCTCATACTGATTTTTCCAGACAATTCTGGCTCCATTCAAATCCTAGCTACCGACCACAATAAGACTGAATGGGATGTAGCTCAAAGACTCTCCTATCCTGGGCCTTCCTTCTGGAGTACTGGAGCCAGGAATGAGAGCAGAGTACGAGCATCTGCTCCTACACAGTGTTGTGCCACACAGCTCTGTCTCTAAACTAGACCTAACAGCTCTGCTGGCACTGGCCAACAGACTAGTGATCAGTTATCATGATACTCCCCCAGAACATTGGCTGTAAAGAGCAGGAGGACTCTGCTCCTGAGTCTATGACAAATATCTGAGTGAATGCAATACACCCTGCAGGCACCTCCACAATGGTGGTGAAACCTGGGTGGAAATTCTGGGCAGAGGTGAAGGGCAAGATGTGCCTCACTGAAAAGAGTTTGGGCAATGAATTCCCTGGCAGAATTTGGTGGATTTCAGACCAGACCCAAGAGCATAGCTCCTTTCCATGAAGAAGAAAAAACACCTGTGAATGAGGCATGGCTTTTGCAGCAGGGGAGAGCAAGGTTTCTCCCACACCTTCCCCATGGAAGAGCAGGGTTTCTGAGTGAGTGTTGGACTAACCACACCCAGGAGAGCTTCCACAGGGAATACTGATGAGGTTGAACTGACAGGAGGGGAGAGCAAGCCAGTAGAAAAGGAAGAAAGCGGGCGGGGAGGGTGTGACGGGTGTGACAGGCTCGTTAGAGCAGGAGTGTAATTGGGCTCCTCTGCAGACTGAGTGGGTTGAGCCCCGAGGGACAGATTGTATCTCACACACAATTCCCATACCTTGCAAAAACCTGTAGGATGGAAAGGAACTTCTGTCCCTGCTCTAGAAAACAAGTGATACAGGCACAAAAGTCTGGACAATAACATCAGAGTTCACTGGCTTTCACCTGCAGGCTTCCAATACAGAGCTTCCTATCCCACACCTATGCCACAAAACACATTCCAATACCTTCTAGCAAAGACAAAGGCTGAAATAAAAAGGTCAAAAGCCCCAGCTGTGATGTGTATAGTAAATTGGATGGGGAGTTTGGTTAGACTCTCAGAACATCACAGGAGCTGGGTATGCACAGAGAGTGAAATATCTTTTTCATTTCTCCTGACAACAATCTCTGCTGACCTGGAAACACATCATCAAACAGGTGTCCAGAATTAAGAAGAGAGATTTTTTTTTTTCTTTTTTACCTCCTAGATACAAGATGCTTTAGTTGTGAAGAAAATTACATATTGGATAGATTTCAGCTCCTTGTTTTCCTCAGTTCTTAGTTAGCCCATGAGCATCCTCTTCCCTAGTGACATTTATTTGGCATGTCCTTTCCCTCTGAAGCTCAGCCTGGCACAAGCTCCCATGGCATTAGGTGCTACACATTATAATTCAACACAAGCAGGAAGCTCTTGACAGTTGTTCATTCTTGACTGATATTTGCCAGGTAATTTCTCTACACAATCCCCCATCTATTGAATGTGTATCAGATGTCCTTCAGAATAACTTACTGTCTTGAATTTGAGCTGTTTTAATTGAAAAAATAATAGATTTCATGATATTTCTGTGAGAATACCTGAGATAAGGTTACAGACTGAGATTTCCTCTGGGGTTATCTCTAAGGCTCCAAACCTCAGCATCTGGGTACCTTATTCTATCTCTGTGCCATTGATTCCATGCTTCCTGGCTTTTGTCTACCTGCAATAATCCCTTGACAGCAGGACTGGAAACAGCTTCTTGTCACTGCTCAATGATTCTGTCTTAAGGCAGGCACTGGAACTCAGCAGAAGGTGGATTTTATTCCTGTTGAAAACGAACAAACTCCTCTCCTGTAATAGTTTTCCTAGATGTGTCCACCCCCACCTGCCTTTCTTTTCTAGCAGAAAAGGAAGTTCCCAAGTGATTTATCTTTTGCTTTTCAAGTAAAAAGTTGATACATTTTTTCGAGCTGTCAAAAAAAGAGTAATTGTCAAGCAACTATTCTTATTTAACTGGAAAAGCAGTGGAAACTGGCTGTTTGATGTTCTGGTAACATTCTCCTCTATCCCCTCAGGATTCTTAGATGATCTCTGAACATCTGGATCACAAGAATTACACCAAAACCATTATTTTCCAGCATAAAACCTCTCTTGCAATAGAGAGTTCCTATCATCCACTTCTAAGAGAGACAGACACCTACTCACATACTTAGTGAGACTTGTACCAAAATAAAATTGATCTACAGAGGAAAAGGGAACTAATCCAAAGATACTGCCTAGTCCTTCCCTTTCCTGCAAAGCACAGCTGATGGAGCTACTTGCTATTCCTAAGATTATTCCTGCTAATCCATTAATGCAGAGATGTGACCATGCAGAGCAAAAATGCTCCAAATAAATATATATTCAAACTAATAACCATGTCAAATAAAGGAATAAATATTTCCTCATCCAGCTGGCTCTCTTGACATCCATCTTATCAGGTTTATCAGGGACAGGAAGTACAACTTGGAGCAGTGTGGGAGGACTGCCATCTCCACACTTGGCAAAATCTGGGGTTTTCACAAAGTACAACATGTCCCATCTTGCCCGCTCCAACTGGTTCAAGGGAATTTGGGAGAACCTGAAACGTGTAACAGGTCTAAAGAGTCTTTTGCTGACAGCAGATGAGCTTGGGGTTAAAAAAAAAGACTCTAACACATCAAGAATGTCCTTCTCCATTGAAGAATTCCTATGATACCTTCAGAAGGTCACTTGCTCTGGCTCTCCATCCTGGTCTACAAAAGGAGGGACACAAATCTGCACCCAGATTAGGCTGCAAGTTCTCTGGGACAAGGGCTATCCTAGTTGTATGCCTAACATTTGTCACAATGTGGCCTTTTCTCACACACCACACAGACTTTTTAAGCAGAGAACGACACCTGTCACTGACCAGGTCGAACGTTTCCCATGTGCACACATGACATCAGGAGCAGATCCCTCAGGGCCACATCGTACACATCTGAGAGCTGTGAACCTTGGAAGCCAGCTGCTTGTCCTCTCTGCTGCCAGGCTCTGCCTCTTCTCTGTGCCCCAAACAGAGAAACCCAACATTGCCCATGCTGTGCTCTTGCGCAGTCAATGATGCCCTGATGTGGGTCATTCATGGTGGTGTTGAAAATCTTTTACTACAGTAATTTTCCAGACCCTATGCTGAGGCTTGTGCTGGGCAACTATGACTCCCTTCCAACCCAAACCATTTTGTGACTATCATTTGATACAACTCAAAATTAACACCGTGGAAGGGAAAAAAGCCTTCCAACTGGACAAACTCCTTGCCCTGCTTTACTTTATAACTTCATGAACAAACATGCCCTGGGCTGGGACACGCCGCTCCTGATGGCAATAAGGCCTCACTAACCAGTGGAGGTGTTTCAGACCAAATTCAAGTGCATCCCTGCCCTGAGATGCACACAGGTTCTCCTGACCCAAGAAACAAAGCTGTAAGTGAGAACCAGCTTGTGCAAACACTTCACCCATTTGACCCCAAACAACTACTCACCCACCCAAAGAGCTGCTATTTTTATTAGAAAGGGCTCACATACACCACCAGCTACCAGTCTCCAGCTGAGCTTTGCAGCAAGATGCTTAAATATGCACATTTTGCCTGTAGCACACACAGAGTAAAACCTTTCATGTTGACCAATCTCATGTTTGTTACCCCACCTCCATAATCACACGTGAAGCCTCTGCCCTCACTCAATTTACTGCCCTCTTCTCCCTCAGTTTCTCCTGTAAGTTTATATTGCTGTCTACAACAGCAGTATCTGAGTAAATCTCAATGAGACAGTTCTTTAAAGTTGTTTTCTAATTATCAAGCTAATTTGAAAAAAACATAAGCAGAAGCAACCTCAGAGGAACACGCACATTTTATTTACAGCATTCTGCATCCCAGGAAATCTCCACTGGAAACTATAAGGAACCAAATTTGTAAAAGTAACAAAACACATCAAATGAACACATCAGTCACTGAAATGAGAACTAAACCCCACAGACATAAAAACAAACCAGTTACTTACAGTTTTGCTGTGGTTCTGGAGGGAATTTGAGACGGATAATGGCCAAGATTATGAAAACAACCACAGGCCAGGAAATTAAAACAAACGACCATACCTATAAAACAGCAATGAAAATATATGGGTTACGTTTGTCGTGCTGATGTGTCCCAGAGCCTGTCTGGAATGTACAAGTAGTGCCCTAAATGAGTTATAGGTGCATTGTAAATCACACCTGTCTCAGTATGCATACAATTAAAGCCCAAGCATTATCTATGCAGGAAGAAAAACTACCTCAGATTTTGAGAGCAAATAACAAGGCTGAAAACAACACAAGGCTTCCTGTCCTTCAGTTCGGCCGATAATTACGGGGGACAGTGTTTATCCAGCTTGGAGACACTGCTATGGAATAGTAAAGGCATGCTGGGAAATTCAGGGCTTTTGGACACACTAATGATGAGATAAAAGACCTGAGGTGTGAAAGGCTGGTTTCACTTTCAGTGAAAGTCACTGCTCAAATAATGGGTAAACATGACTTTGATTTAGTTATATCTCAGAGTTTGAGTGTTTGACGAGTCTACAACATTTCTTCCCAAAAAATTTTGGCGTTCTTCACAAATAGTCGAGCCTCGTGGTTGAGCTGAAGAAAGGATTTTGTCATTTACAAGATGTGGAGCCCAAGCACAGTGAAGGAAGGGGTTTATGGAGCTGTGCGACCAGTCAGCCACAGAAGTCACATTTGAACACCAATCACCAAGATCCCTCATGTGAGCTTCTGACCCCAGCAACGCAAATCCCTGGCACCTCTCCATTTCCAGATTGTAGCAGTCCATAGAGATGAGCTGAGATGAATCATGGAATGGTTTGGGCTGGAAGGGACCTTAAAGCCCATCTCGTTCCACCCCCTGCCATGTGCAGGGACACCTTCCACTAGCCCAGGCTGCTCCAAGCCCTGTCCAAGCTGGCCTTGGACACTTCCAGGGATGGGGCAGCCACAGCTTCTCTGGGCAACCTGTGCCAGGGCCTCACCACCCTCACAGGGAAGAACGTATTCCATATATCTAACATAAGATGGAAGAGAAATTATGTAGAATTGGCCTAATACATTGAAAAACACATGAACATCTATAGAACTCTTGTGTTTAACATGAGGGTTGACAGTTTCAATGGATAAGAATTAAGAAAATACAGTCTGGTAATCATCTACTGTAGTAAACCAAACTAGGTAGGAGGCCCAAAATCTTAAAACTACAAGCCTTGGAGTTTAGCAAGCCAGGAAAATGCAATTATTTAAATAATCAACAGCTTCTGCACTAGCTGGCTACCTTGCTAGATTAGAGCTTTCCATCCATCAGTAGCTAAGCTCAAGCTACTCTGTGCTGCAAAATTGCTATGCCATCTTCATGCCAATTTTTGTAACAGCAAAGATGTCTTTCTTCAAAATAATCCCATTTTTCATCGCTGTGCTACTATTTTTTTCAGATCAGCACACATTACCCACAACTGTTTTTCCAAAGTAATTCCAAGCCCATAACCATGTTTTCATTTCCTGTAACACTTACTGGAACATAAAACCAGACAGACAAACAAATCCTGCAGAGCAATTCAGCTTGAAGATGGTTGTTTTACAGCAAGTCCATCCCTATCAGCCCTGATGAGGTGACAGAGGCTTGAAAGCAGGAGCAAATTCATGCCCCAAAATAGGCAACTGACAGACACCAAATCATAAGGCCCCTCCCCACACATCCTTCACAGAGGGCACTCCTCTAATTTCAGCATTATTTTAGCTTTTACAGACAGTTCCTGCCTTTCATATACACACTGCCAACTTGTAACAGGATCCATCACTGAAACTACCATCTATTTATAATTTTTTCTATCAGATGCTTTCCCTATAATCAGTCCCCAAACACGCAGTTTAACTGTGATTAATTCCCGTGCAAACAGTATCATTAACGCAGCCTCCTCGTTTAGAACCACACAGGCTAAAGGAAAATTATGGGGTAACAGCACAGAAACTGATATTAGTCAGAAGCTGCCTGAAGGAAGGGCCAGACATCTGTCACATTCTTGGGACAATGAATGAATACTGATAGTTTCTACTCAGGGAAATTGTGGTACGTCCCCATTTTGATCTATAATGGTGCTTATACTCCCCACTTTCTACACAGCTCTTCCCTCAGTATCTCTGTCCTTTGATTTAATTGGATTTAATAGTAGCTGGGCACATCAGTTGCATCACAGCATTCCCCCTGTCCCAGGCATTTCTAGCCAAAGACAACCACCTTGGCCAAACAGCTTGCAGGTGGAACGTGTTGACTCAAATGGAACCATAAACAACCTTGATTTGGCTCTCAGGACATTACGAACTGTGATGTCATTGCATAATCCCTCGATTGGTGGATTATTTCACTGCTAAAAGTTGATTTAATCGCTCAGACCTTGGTATCTCTGGGTACAGGTACATAGAAATACAGTGTGGAGCAAAAGGTAGAAGTAAAATATGTTTTCCAGCCCTGGAGAGGCTGATGAACAGAGCAGGAGAGCACTTGAGTCTGCAGGGGTGGGACAGGGCTGCCTGGTGTCAGACCATCCCATGGCATTCCAGTCATTCCCAGAGAGGGCAGCCAACACCACTGCAGCAGCAGGAACCACCTTCACTCCTTATCAGAAATTGAGAAGCACAACAGAACGCTTCCCTCCCAAAAAAGCTCTCCAATGGCCTGGTCTGTAAGTGAAGGCAGATTACACAGGTAAAAAATATGCAAGGAGGACAGAAATCAGGATGTGCTTGGGAGCAGAGATCTGGCTTTACCTCCTCACACCCTCTGCAGTCTGAGCAAGCTCCCTAATTTGGAGCAAGAGAGGGAAGTGAAGGAGGGTTGCAGGGAATGGCTGCCATAAAATAGTCTGTAGTGGCCAGATTTTTATTTTAATTGACATTTCAATTCTACAGAATTGATATTTCAACTCCACAGGAAACCAGAATTAAAGCGAGACTGGTCAAAGCACAAGTAAGGCTTAGGTTGGCATTTACTCTGAATACACAAGAGCTCAGAGACCCAGACCTTCTGCTTTTAATGAGGCTGTTACAATTTCTCTTGAGAAATTAGAAGTAATTTATTGGGCAGTGAAGAATACTCAGGTATGCAGCACATCCATAGGAGTCAGAGGAACTCAGCACCTCCCCAAATTAGGCTCCAAAACTGAGAGGGAGAACACAGTAGGCAAGAACTGACCTTGCAGAAGCACGTGGTGATACTGGGCCTTTCACTCCATCCTCATATCACACCCTCCATGGCCACTTCTCTTCTGTCAGCATTTTCTGCACCTGCCAAGGCTTCCAGTCCACCAAGGCAAGTTTAAAACCCATCTCGTTTGGATTACTAGCAAGAGCACAGGTTGTGGTACAGGCCCATGAACCTCAGGATGCTGTATTTACTGTGCAGCTGCACCAAAACCAGACTGGGACAAAACTACTGAGCAGCCTTTGCCTGGCCACACAAGGCCACCCAAAGGAACATGCACCCCCCTGATGCTGCTGCAGGTCAGATCACTCTCTGGACATTGGTGGCAATTTGGTTGTCTTTTGGGAAGAAAGACCATTGGGGTGTTTGATTTGCAGCACACTGGACTGCACTGGAAATCTGTCCTACCTGCACCTCTCAGAGCTACTTATTCCTTTGTCCATCCTTTACAAATGGGTCTGTGTAAGGGCAGTACCCATGACCCCCAAATCCCAGGGACTCCTTGGAGGCTGTACACCAACCATGGGCTCTGCTCCAGAGGAGCAGGTACAGAACTGCAGCTGAACTCAGGCCTGCCTGTGAGTTTGTGCATGGTTTTGTTTGCACAGAGGGAACAAGAGTGGCATCCACAGTACTCCATCTGGACTCCTGAGCCCTCACACACAAGCTCCAACGCAAGACCCAATTACTTTGGCCTAAAAAGACCCACCTTCACTTCCATGCCATTCCCTTCCTTCCCTCTGCCTCTATCACCATGACCTTCCTCTCCTGCAGTGTCCCCCTCGTTCATCAGCTCCTGCCATTCCCAGGTTCCCACTCCTCTGTTCCCACACTCACCGGCTGCCTCTTGACACTCAGCCAGTTCTTCCAGAGCAGGATCCTCAGGTGTTGAGAGAGCGCAGCCATCCTGAGCTGAGCCAACCACGAGTGAACGGCTGCGTATTCTTCCTCCCCGGCTTAGGAGGCAAAAGTGGAGGCTCTAACCCACAGGGGCATCCAGTGTCCAATATCCAAGCCTCTGCCCCTTCTCCACAGCATAGCTCTGGAGCAGCTACTTCATGCACCGGTGGCTGCTGCAATCCCAGTGAGTGTAGCTCTCGTCCTCCCAGCAATAGCTCCCAGCAAATTCAACAGGTTCTTCCTCTGGCGGCAGCGGGCGGGCGCAGCAGCCTGCCTCCACTTGTGGGAATTACAACAGCCAGCCTCTCCTGGAGGCTCCCTGCTCCAGCCCTCACCGATAAAATGGACAGCATTCCAAAAAGATGCTTCTGCTTAAACAAAAGGTGATGCATGCCTCCTCCTCCCCATGATGAAACCACCTGTCTGCCCACACACCGCTCCTGCTGGAGAGGTGTCAGCAGCAGCAGAGTTCGGCTGCTCGCCAGGCCAGTCTGACTTCCCCGGGTTCTCAGGGAATGCCTGGGAAGAAAGTATCCAGACCGTGTATCTTCCTGGCATAGCTGATTTGGAATTAGTTGTTTGCTTTTTTTTTTTTTTAATTAAACCTACCCATCCAAGGAAATTAAATGAAAGCGCTGAAAAACATATATAAATGAAAATCTCAGGGACTGATCTAATTGCTCAGCTTCTTGTATATTCCCTTTCCTCCAGGAGATCAGTCCTGGGGCTCTCAGTGACTGAATTCAAGGTAGCATACCCAATCCACTGGGAATGGATCACACCCCACAAAGATTTCAAGCACTAGTGTGGCTTGAACACTTCTTGTTGAACTGATCATTGAATTTTCCAAGCTAGCGATATCTAAAAACAACAGCCAGAGATGAAACAGAAAAGGCAGGTACAGAGGGAAGCAATGACAGCACAGGGACAGCTCATTGTACCAAGGAATAGCACAAATCTAAAATCCAGA